CTGCTATTTTCAATGACTACTTATTTTTGTCCAGCTTTAACATCGGTATCGATATCGGTTATCGGCTACATGAGTTTTAAAATATCGGATATTGGCCAAAATCCCAATATCGTGCATCCCTAATAAAATCTGTCTAAAGTCTAAAAGAAAGAATATTCCGGTGGCGATATCAGGGAGAGGTTTCTAATGAGGCTGGAGGATGCAACACTAATTTCTTTAAAAATGTAATATTTTCAGCAGAGATAAAATAGCTTAACTGCTGATCAGGGAAGCAGGAGGTGATTGCTGCTCACATCAAGTCACCAAAACACACAGAAAGTCACTACACTGCAAAAAATGGAAATCGAAATTAGCCGTTTCTTCTTGAATTAATGAGATAAGTGAGACACTTTGCCAACGGAACAATATATATTTAAAATAAGAAAAGAACAATAGCATTGTCTTATTTTAAATGCATATTATCTAATGATCTAATTGTAAGAGTAAAAATACTCATTCCACTGGCAAATCATCTTATTAAGCTACTTAAATTAAGTGTAAATATTGATTAAATTTTTTTTATTTTTTGTTTCTAGATTGTTTTTACAGTGTAGGTTTGCCTCTAGTCATTTATTTGGGAACAATGGAATGAGAGGCGACTAGAGGATTGGAAAAGTTCTTTAGATAAAAGAACTAAGTTAGAAACGCTCCAGTTTTCCATCACTAACCAGAACAGAACAGAGCAAAGCGCTTTAGCCACCAGTTAGCTTCATACGCTAACCTTTAACTTCTGATTTTCTTTGAATAAGTGTTCAAGTATAGATTATGACAAATTAGATGCTTTGCATTGTTTTAACTTTTTTAAAGGAAAAGTCTGATCAGCAAGGAATAATTAATGGATCATTATCTATACAATTCTATTCAGTTTATTTCTATAGCTCCAATTCACATCATGTCATCTCAGGTCACTTTCCAGTTCAACCCGATCATCCAGTCAGATTGATTCAAAGTTTGCTGATTGCATCGACTCATTGACTCTTCAGCAGTCCCTCACACTAAGCATGCTTGTAGCGACAGTGGAGAGGAAAAACTCCCTTTGAACAGGAAGAAACCTCCAGCAGAACCAATACCTAAATCTAATACGTACGTGGTTTTCATAACCCCTCCCTCCTGCCATCTTCCAGCAGTGACGTCACGGTGCGGTAAGCCTAGCGCCATTCTCCCCGCTTTCCAAGCTAAATCA